GAATGGATCTGAGGTGTGTTACACACAGTCTCTCAGAGGGTCTGAGGAAGACAAGCCCAACGTGCCCACAGCAGTAACCTGCCTATAAATGCAGCTTTCCTGTCTTTCCTCTTTTCTCTGTCTAAATTCATGGCTGAGAAGCCCCCACCCCCAAATAAACTACCTGTATCTACATCATTGTATCAGGGTATGCTTTTGGGGAAATCCAAACTAGAAGAGGTAATAGCCTATGAAGTCTCATATATCTAAGGATACCTTTATTTTGACTTCACAGTGGAAGGCAAGTCGGCTGTGTACAGAATTTAAAATTCACAATGGAATATACTGTTCTAACTGTGGACATTAATGTTACAGAAAAGTCTGTAGAAACTAGTTTCTTTGCTTTCTGCTAAGTGTTAATCTTTAAAATTAAAAATTTCATGAAACTATTTGTAGACATTATTATTATTTTGAGACAGACTGGACTCAAAATTACCAGGCTGGACTGCAGTGGTATGATCTCTGCTCACTGCAACCTCCGCCTCCTGGGTTCAAGAGATTCTCCTGCCTCAGCCTCCCAAGTAGTTGGGACTACAGGCGTGCACCACCACACCAGCTAATATTTGTGTTTTTAGTAGAGATGGGGTTTCACCATTTGCCCAGGATGGTCTCTATTTCTTGACCTCATGATCCACCCACTTCAGCTTCCCAAAGTGCTGGGATTACAAGTTTGAGCCACTACACCCAACTGACATTAAACATGTTTTAAACATTTTTTCCTGGTGTCTGCTGCACCCTTTTTAGGAAATGGAGATCCTCCTTTGCTGCCTAAGGAATGGCTTCCGGAACCATTTCTTGCCATTCTCCAGTTTCCACCTTCCACAAGACAGTCGTCACTGTCCTCCTTTCGCATTGCTTTGTTCTTTTCCTCCTAATTCTCAGGGCTTCTCAGAAATACCTCCGCATCATTAAATCAGCTTTCTGTTCTGCTGATTCTGCTCCTTCCTGAGTATAACACAATTTAATTCTGCCCCTGATTTCCTGGTTTCACTGCCACATTTCTTGGCCCCATCCATAACACTTATCTTTGCTTGCCTCCCAGTCCACCTCATTTTCATACAGTCTATTGTTCTACTATCTGATCTTTCACTATGTTCACCATTTTTTTACTTTCATGAGAACAAAAGTAGATGCTCTGTAAAATTTACTTTTGTTTTCTTTTTATAATCTTCTTAAAAATTATGCATTCCCTCTGTATCTTAGGCATGCTTTTCTTAGTTTACACACTAGAATTGTTTCGCAGGCCCATGTTGACCTTGTTAGGCCTGTGTGTTGTTAAACAGGTTGGGTGGGCTCTCCTGATGCTCCTCACTGGCTCCTGTGAGCTGTTAGAATCCTGCTCAGGGCTAAGTGACGCCATTTACACCCCCTGTTTATCACCTTGCAGTGTGGCTGGAGTCCTGAAAGGGGAGTTTGTTTCTTTTCCCTTTCTTTTCCTGCCACCCTGAGGGTTTCTGGCTGTCCTTGCCTCCACAGCAGCTACAAGATGCCTCCATGCTCCATCACCATTCTGGAGCTAAAACTCACCATGTCCCAAAGAGCCCCAGACACCTTGTCGAGCTTCTGCCAATTGAAACCTAGGGTTCCTTGTGCCAAAGGTTTCAAAGGTTGCCGGAATTCAATGGCAAAGAGAGCAGAATGATGTGTTCCCACGTTTTTCTATGGCCGGCTACAGTGGCCAATGGCTTGTACTTGTCGCCTTCCCAGGCACATTATCTTTGAGTTCCTGGAGCCTCCTTGTCCAGTATGCTTGGGAGGCTACTCACCACCCCCATATCCCTGCAGTGGCCAATGACGATACAGGGGTAGAAAAGGATGCTGTCCCTTACAGCTTCAAGGGGGGACAATTCTGCAGAGTGATTTATGTTCCAGGGCTTCCCCCACCTCTTCCCAGCCCATAAATCAGAAAAAGGTTAGCTTTGACCTGACAGCACACCTCTCCCAGCTCTTCCCCTGCCTGCCCCTGCTCCCTCACCCTGCTTCTTCTGAGAGTGCTCCTCCAGTAAATCACACTGGGCCTCATGCAGTGAGGACGGGATGGGGACACGAGTGCAAAAAGTCCGCGGCAGACAGTAGGTGGTCAAAAACATGACTTCACATCCTCTGAAAAGTTGCAGAGCTAAGGATACCATCATTTGCTGGTACTAACCTCTGCAAAAGACATTCATCACAATTCTGCTTAAAATAAAAACTGGGAATAACCTAAATACAAAGTAAGAGGAACTTCCCGGTAAATCCATAATCTATCCATATGGTAGATTACGCAATCTCAAAGCTAAAAAGCAAAACGTGGTAAAGTGGGAGCAAAGCAAGATATAAGAGACTACTGAGCTTATAAAATAATACGACTAAGTTCTATGCAGTGGGGTCAGCTCTGAACTTTCTAGCAACTAATAAAGAGAATGAAGCCTAGTCAGTCACGAGGTAAAAAGAAGCCAAAACGCTCAGGCAAAACACAGCTATTTCTAGGTCTGAGGCTGAAAAGAAACATCTCACATGGGTCCTGCGCGAGAGAAATCTGTGTAATGTAATGACCCGGTTGCCAACTCCATCTTTTCAGTTACCATAGAGACGAGTTCCATGGGTGAAATCCCCAAGGAAGCCCCTCTCCCCCTGACCCCCATCCCACCCTGCACAGGGAGATGGCATCACAGCACATGCGATTCTGTAAAAGACACTCTGTGTGTGGCCAGTGACACTTGAACCCAACAGATACTTGGTTCTCTCTTGACTGGGCTTAATCCAGGGGTAATTTTTAGGGGGTAGAAAGTGGATGGAAAGTACACTCCTCCTGCAGACCTTGGTTGCTTTTGTGGCCTCCCTCAGCCCTTGAACTCTGGAATGCTACACAGCAGCAGGGAATGTGAGATGACTTCTTGGAAAGTTTTGGAGTGCCTCTACTGTAGGTGGCTCTGAGCATTTCAGCTGCCCTCTAAGCTGGGCAGGCTTGGCACGCTCCTGTCAGCACTATGGAGCCCACAGAATGTGCCTGAATGAATGCCATTGACCTGCTCCAGGTATGCCCAGTGCTCACTGGTGGGCAGGGGGAAACTTTTCCTTAGAAAGTGATTTTGGTTCTATTTTAACATAAAGAACAAGGCACCCCAGTTCAGTGCTGTAGATATTAAAAAGTGGCAAGCAGTGCCAGCTGAACAGCTGTAACAGTTAGAGCAATGCTGGGTAGAGTGGAGTCAACTTCTGTCCACTTGTCCCCCCTGTTGTCTGCGGGGGAGCCTGCTCCACTTCCCCTGAGAGGTGTACACTCAGGGAGATTATGGGTGGGGAGAACAGCAGTGCTGGACCTTTGAGTCATGCTATCTAAACTTCACTTCATTCAAATTAATTCACTCTAAAAAAATCATTCAATTTGTGGAAATAATTTAACTACCTCAATTCACTCCAATATGTCAGGAAGGCCAGGCGCAGTAGCTCACAAAGTGCTGTAATCCCAGCACTTTGGGAGGGTGAGGCAGGCAGATCACTTGAGGTCAGGATTTTGAGACCAGCCTAGCCAACATGGCAAAACCCTATCTATCTACCAAAAAATACAAAAATTAGCCGGGTGCACACCTATACTCCTAGCTACTCGGGAGGCTGGCTGAGATGGGAGGATCACTTGAACTCAGGAGGCAGAGGTTGCAGTGAGCCAAAATTGTGCCACTGCACTCCAGCCTGGTGACAGAGTGAGACTCTATCTAAAAAAAAAAAAAAAAAAAAGAATGAATAAATAAACATACCAAAGCACGGGCCAAAGCAGCGACCCTCAAACGGAAACATCAAATACTTCATACGTGATAACCAGCACGACAAGCAGTGATCTGCCCTTACCTTCACAACTACAGGCCTAAAAGTGGAATTTTCTAGAACACATGTGTGCTGGAGACAGCGACTGTACCATCTCCAAGAAGGGGCCAGACGTAACACCATAGGGAGAAGATACGACGAGAGAAGGGGTGAGACACTGGGTAAATACAGGCACTTCTCTGGCAATCTAGGAGTATTCACGGTGGCTTCTTTGGCCGCACCAACGTATTTTCTAAGACCAGGAAGGAAAAGTTCTAATCATTCGAAATAATCGTCCACAGAAAGGATTAGCGCTTGTAGGATCATTGCATATCAGGCTATGATGAAAGTCGGAAAGCGCACCGGACGGAATGACTGCCGTTCTTAAATGTGCATCAATCATGCCTCGCCCTCAACCTTTAAATATATTCTTAGACCTGGCAAATGCACTCAGACTTGCATCTTTAGGAATTTTTAACTTTCTTTCACTACATTGGCACTTAATTTTTTTTCTTTATAAAACTTTTCGAAGGTCATAAACAAAGACCATAATTGATAGACCTGATACATTTCCTCTGTGTGTGTGTGTGTGTGTGTGTGTGTGTGAGTGTAACATTCCAAATGCTTTTCTTCCCCCACTGTTTGTAAGGTGCAGTCATTTAATATTTTAAGGGACTTTCTAAGAGTTCCTTAAGAATCAATTTAAAATTACTTCAGTGCAATCCTACACAGTATCAACATTAGAATTTTGATATTAGTCTTATGTTAGCTTTATTCTATTTTTATCTGCTTTTTGCTGCTAGTTTCCAATTGCCAGTATTTTTCCTTTTGCTCTTAAAATAGTTACAATATTTTTCATAATAGCCACAGTATTGCCACAGTTTATAAAGGGTTTTTATTTGATTTAGAGGATTCAAAACTTTTCTCTATCACTTTTAATTGTGTTCAGAATATAACCTTTGTGTTCGTGTATGTTGTGTGTGTGCATGTGGGGTGTATATGTGTGTTACAGGTTAATGCCTTTTTTAGAATTGTGTTAATGTTCTCTTGGTTTATTATGCCATCAGAATGGTAAATGAGAACACTACAACTGTAGTCAGCTCAGGATTTTTAAATAAAGGATACCACAGTGCAAAAAACAAAAAAAAAAAAAACAAAAAAAGGGATGCTCTCCTTACCTTCTGCCACATGTTAATGAAGAAGAGCTCCCGGGAAACGTTGAAGGACACGTTGGTGTCATAGGCATCATCCCCAAGGTTGGAGATAGAGATGTTTAGGGAGATGTTCTTCACAGCCCCCAACGCTAGATACAGGGTTTTCTCATCCATACTGTAAGGAAAAATAAACAGCAATGAATGCCCTGAGGCCTACACTGACATAACGTGAGGCAAAGGGGTAGCTGAAGGTGCAGGGCAGAAACCGAGATCAGAACTACAAGTTCCAGAAGCCCCACTGATCAGCCACGTGTCCCCGGGCAATCAGCTCTATGGGCCTCAGCTTCCTCATCTCAAACACAGGGTTTTACCTTGCCTAACTCATCAGACTGTTTAGAGGCCCACATGAAATCTTGTACGTCAAACTTCAAACACTATAAGGCATTTAATAACCTATGCGTGGGATTCATTTTATATTAATTCATTTGGTTATTTTTGAGTGCCTACCACATGCCAGCCACTATTCCATGTGCTAGGGAAGGGGCAGCAAAGAAAAGAGAGTCCTCACAGCTTCAGTGAGAAAAAAACACACACAGAAAGAAATGTGTGTGTCCGATTGTGATAAGAGCTGTGGAGAAAACTTACAAAGGGTCAGGAGGCTAGAAGAAGCCGGGCTTGCAAGGGAGGTGGGCTGCAATTTACAGGAAGGTGATCAGGGCAGCCTCACTGACGAGGTGACCTCTCAGTACAAACCTGAAGAACGAAGGGAAACAAGAAACACAGGCAAAGAAGTCCCTGAGGTGGGTGTGTGCCTGGCACAAGCAGATATCAGCAAGGAGGCCAGTGCGGCTGGAGAGCAGTGAGGAAGCGTGCAGGTAGGAATGCGCTCAGAGGGGCTGAGGGAGTAGGAGCAGCAGACCCCACAGGGCTTTGTGGGCCAGCACAGGATCTTGGTTTGACCCTCAGAAGCCCCTGCAGGGCTCTGAGCAGAGGAGCAGCGTGACCTGACGTTCATGTTTAAAGGAGGCTGACGCTGACTTTGATGTGCACGGTCTGTGAAGTGGCCAGGAGAGGAGCAGGGGGCCTGGTTAGGAGGCTCTTATGACAATCAAGGTGTGAGAAGATGAACGTGAAAGCCAGGGTGGTAGTGGCCAAGGGGGTGAGAGGAGGTCATACTCTGGACACATTTCAAAGGTCATGCCAACAGATTTTTCTCATGGATTGGACGAAGGGTGTTAGGAAAAGAGGAGGCAGGGAATGCGCCAAGGATTTTGGATTCAATAACTAGAAGAGAAAAGCTGTCATTTTTTTGAGATAGGAAAGACTGGGTCAAGCAGGTCCAGCAGAGAAAATCCAAATGCCTATTGGACTTAAAGGAAGTACTGACACAGGTAGATGCATGAGTCCGGAGTTGAAGGAGGGGTCTGGGCTAGAGATACATTTGGGACGGACTAGATACGATCACTAGCAAATGAGCGTAGATAGAGATGAGGACTCCCATTTAGGAGTGACGATGAGGGGTCAGTCAAAAAGACCAGAAAAACGTGGCTAAGAGGAAAACAGAGAGAGGGCGTCCACGCGGTCACAGACCACATGTCTACCACCTGTCTACCAGCGCATCTTCGGCTCACCTCCAGCCAGCCCAGAGCAGCCCATCTAGTCATCAGACCCCAGCAATTGTCCCCGTCATATCTTCACTAACTGTTCCTTCCCTAATAGATAATTCCCGTTAGCATGCAAATAGAGAAAAACCCTAAGGGGAGAAGCACAGTCTCAAGAAAGGAAGGATCAATTTTGTCCAACTGTCAGAACAACGGGAAGAACTAGAACTGGTGATTGGCATCAGCCTGCTGGAGGTCACTGGTGATCTTGATAAGAACTGCCGAAGTGGCGTGATGAGAGGGGAGCCTGACTGGAGAGAATTTCAGAGATGTAGGGGGAGAGCAAATGAACACAATGAGGAAAGACAACTATTTGGAGGAGTTTTTCTCTAAACAGGAACACAGAAGTAGGCTGGCAGCTGGTGGGGGAAGTGGGCTCTTGGGAGGTTTTTGATGTTTTTTATTAAGATGGGAATTATCATAGCATATTTGCATGCTAATGGGAATGATCCATTAGAGAAGGAACAATTAATGAAAATATGACAGGGGACAGTTGTTGATATCTGATTAAAGATTCTTGGCTGGCTGGAGGTGAGCTGTGTCGGCTGGCTGGAGGTGAGCTGTGTCGGCTGGCTGCAGGTGAGCTATCTCAGCGGGCTGGAGGTGAGCTGTGTCGGCTGGCTGGAGGTGAGCTGTGTCAGCTGGCTGGAGGTGAGCTGTGTCGGCTGGCTGGAGGTGAGCTGTGTCGGCTGGCTGAAGGTGAGCTGTGTCGGCTGGCTGGAGGTGAGCTGTGTCGGCTGGCTGGAGGTGAGCTGTGTCGGCTGGCTGGAGGTGAGCTGTGTTGAATGGCTGGAGGTGAGCTGTGTCAGCTGGCTGGAGGTGAGCTGTCTCGGCTGGCTGGAGGTGAGTTGAAGATGCATTGGTGTATGGGTGGTAGAAATATGTGGGAATTCCTCTGTGACTGCTTCCATTTTGCAGTGAAATAGAAGTAGGGTCAAAGACTGGGAGTTGGAGGCAAAAGAGGGTATTTACCTCCAATAATTGAGGGGTGAGCAGATGGAAGGAAATGGGGTCCCAGGAGAGGGGTAAGTGAATAGGACGAGGACGGTGATAAGGCTGAGGCTGATGATAACGAGGATGAAGATGGACGAAAGACTGAAGATTGTGCGATGTGATGTTTCAACAAAATAAATCCATGTCAGTGGCCAGTTTTAGTCGGACAACCAGTTAATGGAAGACGAAATTAAGGATATAACGGTTTGTTATATAATGAACAGTTGTTATTTTTTGCCACTCATTATCCTGACATCCTCATGTTTTGGGGCAATCTCAAGATAGGTGGGATAGAGGGCAGACCCTCTCTTTCCCCTCTTCTTGATCACTAGGGTGTGGGTACTTGCCTAAGTGAAGACCTGTGATCCAAGGGTGATCAAGTGGCAGTGATGTGGTAACAGAAGCTCCCACCCAGGACTACAAATTTTGAGGTTTGCCCTGAGACCCCAGGGATCATCTGAAGTAGCTGTGGAGGAGTAGAGAGCCCAGAGGTGGCCCCCTGGGCTAAGCCTTGCCTCCTCTGCTTCCCGCCTGTGTTTGTTCCCAGACTTCTTGCCTACACTCTGAACCACCCCACATCCTTTTAATAAAGTCCTTTTCTGCTTAAATTAGCTAGCATATGTTTTTGTTGTTTGCAACCATTAATACGGCTAATATACCATGCAAAAGAAGAGAACTATGCGAAATCTCAGTAGGCCAAAATACTTTGAAATACGAACTTCTGGGGGGCGGAATCATCATTACTCATCCGTGAAGAGAGGACCTCACTCTCCTGCATGTCTGGCACATCGACAGTAACAACATGTGCAACAAGAAATATGATGGCCTCGCTTTGGAAGCAAGGGCTCTGAGGACCCAAGCAAAATGTGAAGAATTAACTTAAGACTTGCAAATTCTTGAATGGCCTCCAATAAATTAAGACCCTGATCTCAAGCTATTGTGGCAATTATTTATTATTGTTGGCCATTTTAATCTTAAACAGTTGATAGGCTATTTCTGTCCTTTTGTTTGCTTTTGTAAGATTAAAAGAATAAACCTCAGGCTTGAGTTATGAGAGCACGCTAACCTAGTTTTATCTGGAGAAGGAACTGGCCGGGCCTTCACAACTAGCCCTGACATCAGACAGTGTCCAAGGTTTCCGTGGAATGTTAGGCAAACAGACAGTGCAGACAAGCCCAGGACCATGGAGGAGAGACTGCCTCTTCATTCCAGTTTAGCTGTTCATGTGATCAGCCTCCTGTCCTTGTGTGTAAAGGGTAAGGGGTCAGGCCAGGGACATCTAAACTTCTGCCAATCCCCAAACCTTGGGCCTCTGTCACTTAATCTCACAGCAAAGTCATTCCTGGGATTTCAAAGTCAACTGATTCAAACAGAGCTCCGTGATTAAGGGAAGCCAGGCAACTTTCAGGGCAGAGTGTGCACTCAGATTGTTTTCAGAGGAGCCTCAAAGCTGGGGTTTCATTCTTTCTCCAAAGCTTAAAAAAAAAAACAAAACCAACTTTGACTAAAACAGTACATCTCTGCTTCCAAAGTTATTTTTAGAAATGAAATGAAAATGTGATTTACCAGCATGATGTTGGGTGCTGTCAAATATGTCATTCTTCTGAAACCTCACAACACTGTGAAAGGGTCTTGATATTAGGCCCGTATTAGAGATAGGAGGAAACTAAGATGCAGAAAGAGAAGGTGCTGTGCTGGTGTAAGAATGCAGCATCTCCTATGCCTTCAAAGCTCATTCCTCTCCACCATAACCCACATTCTCCAGCCCCCTGACTAACATGTCCCCAAAGGGTCCTTCCTGATCTCCCTGCCTGGGTGAAATAAATCCTCCCATTATGAGCACCCCCCACCCCCTTGTGCTCCATCAACCCTTCATGGTACTTATTGAACTTGTGATTATGCTTTTGTTTGTGGGGCTATTTGGTTAAAGACTGTCTATCCACCACTAGAATCTAAATGACAGGGGCAGGGACCCTTCTCTGGCTTTGCTTATTATTGAACTCCTAGTGACAGAGTTGTGCCTGGCACAAAATTTCTCAGGGAATAAAATTCCTTGAAGATCAGAAAGACTGTTCTTCAACAACTAGGCACCGTGGAACGTTCAGCATAAAATCCGCGTGCCTGATTGTTTTCAGTTTTCAGCAGGACTGTCAGGGAGAGTAGTCCCTCCTAGCAGGTGTTCAATGAACACTTGTTGAATGAACATCCATGACATCCCCATGACAGATCATCAGCTCCCCCTTCACATTTTACAGATGAAGCTGAGCCCCAGAGAGGGGAACCCACCCAACCGAGGTCACCCAGCTATGCAGGATCTGACCTGCAGCTAGCAGCATGCCTCCTTTGATATGAAGGCTGGCCCAGACACAGTTCTAACAACATCATCTCAGTCAGGGAGGGCTTTGGCAAGAAAGTTTACTAACATCTGAAAGAAACAGGACTCCACAAGGACCAACCTCTCTGACAGTCCTGCTGAAAGACTAAAACAATCAGGCGTAGAGTTTTTGTGCTGAGCATTGCA